ATGGTGAATTTTGTTACAATCTTCCTAGAAGAGATTTAGATTCAAACAAATTGTATCTCCTTATTCTCATCTACAGCACACCTGAAACAAAGACAATGGCAGAAGTATTTTCTAGTTTCTGACAAGGACTTCATCTCTATTCGCTGTGTATAAAGTCGCTGCTTAAGTATAACTCTACGGGGTTCCACTTCTGGACTAGGCTGTTGTCTTTGCTGCAGAGCAAACCATTCAGATGGTTGTAATTGTACTGTACTACCAGGGGGTCCAGCCTGAGCTCTTGAGCCACAAAAGCTTTTGAGCAGTTTGCTTGATGGGTAGTAGGGATGTGCTTGGCACAGGGGGTTCTGGATAATCTGATTTCCCACCGATGGAGGTGTGTTAGCAGCTGCTGTTGAAGTTGACATTGCTGCCTCCGCCCAGAAGCCATCTGTGCACCCTACCCAGCTACATGGCCCAGCAGGACCTTGTGACAGCCACTGTCACCTCCTGTACATCTCCTACGCTCTTCCCCTACACAAAAGGGAGACTACACATCTGCAGTGAAACTTGTTTCTGCTCTTAACACATTCTCCCTATGCAATTCCACCCAGGGGTGGATGGAATATGTTGCTAAGTCAGTCTGATGGGATGGTCCTGTTAGCCCTGCTTTGGCCACAAGCTGTGGCCATTCCTCTTGTGCTTCTCCCGCACCACAGATTATTATTTCCTTTCATCACAAGCAAGTTTAGGGAATCAACCTGTCAGGAAATAATTCTGTTTTTCTAAAGCTACACTCTTTTGTCTCTTTAGTCCCCAAAGCACATAACTGCAGATCATTTCAGGATCACACAAGACATAGTGCAAGCAGAAGTGAGGAAGGATAATGGGATGGAAAGTTGCACCTTTTGCATTCAAGTTGCACTGAAAGTTATGCCATTAGACACTATTTTAGGGATTCCAAAGTAAACCCACTCACCAAAACCATCTGGGTTTAACACCAGAATTCTTTAATCCAGAAACTGTTATCCCATTTCTACCCCAGCCCGACAGGCTGCTGGCACAACAGGGCACTAGGGAGCAGCCATGGATGCAGAAACCCACTAACACATCAGGGGAACTGTACACTTGGTCACATGGCAAAGCATTGGCAGGTGGCTTACAGGCTCAAGAAAATGTTGGTTTCCACTTACTCAGGGTGAACATTGCATTTACAGACCTTTGCCTGTAGAATTAGTTCTCCCAAATTAAAGAACACTTTCCCAGTTCAACCTAGAGTCAGCAAAAAGTGAGGGGAAAAAATTTTGAAAGTTTCAATGCAGGGAACCTCTTTGTCATATATGACACGCTTGTCATGTATTTGAAGGTAAGAGTGACAGGGCGGGTAGGAGATTCAAAGGCCATGGCTCTGCTAGTGATTTTATAGACAAATCTGCAGCACAGCACTTTTTTTCTTTCCACACTCAAACCTACTGGAGGCATTGCCTAGGTGCTTGGATTTGTGTGTTTTTTTTTCTGAGTCATATATATTTTATTTAAAAAAAAAAAGACAGAAGGGAGGAAAATAAGAACAGGTGTCATCTAAAAGTGGTGAAAGATTAGGTGAGAAGCCGTTCCAGAGACAGCCAGACCCATGCACAGTTTCCAGCATATGGTAACTTTTCCAGAGGTGTTGCTACAAGCAAACAACTGCAAATGGAGATTATCCACCACCAATTTCAGCAATATAACATTCACCCACTTCTTACAGATACCAAACAGGTGAGTAATTTACCACCGCACCACTGCACCTCTCTTCAGTCACCGGGTAGCCACTTAGATGAGTAGAAATTGTCCAACTCTTATTTCAGGAAAGTCTTTTTCATTTCCTTCACATAGAGTTCTACCACATTAATGACATGGAGCTTAGATGACATGAGAAGTGGAACTCTTCCAAAATACATTTCAGTTCCTGTCAGAAAGTATTGCGTGCCTTTGTGCAGGAAATTATAAAATAGAAAATAAACATGTAAATATACCATTTCAACACATCCTCTACATCAAAGCAGACCTGATGGTTTTAATTTCAGCTTTTTGAGGTTTTGCTTTTATAAGTTGCTGAATTTATTTTGTAGCTCCTGTTTATGAAAAGAGCTTTAAAAGAGTTATAAATTACATTTATCAAATGAAGAAAAACTACAGCTATAAAGTTCTCAGAAAAAAGGAAATAATGTGAACCATGTATGTGCACTTGTGCGAGGACACACACACACAAACTTATGTATTTTTAAGTTAGTGACTGCTGAACCACAGACCACATGCAGAAGAGTAGAAACCACCCATAACCAGATGTGCCACTGTAAAACTCATATTTTAGGATATATTCTATGAAATCCACAGTATACAGGAAGACATAAGTTCCCACAATATTAATATCAGTGATATGGATTCCTAGAAAGACTGACTACCTTCACACACCTAAAAATAACCCGAGTTCCAACTGGGAGGTACAGCCTTTGGGAAGTAGAGAGGGGGTTTAATGGAGTTAAAACACAGGCTTTTAAGAACCATCCAGCTTAACACAGAGGTGAGAACAGCAGCAAGACGTCACTTCAAACCTTCCAAGGACCAAAGGGGGCTGCAGAAGGAATTCCACCCTTTTCCACGGAGTTCATCCATGAGCGCTGCACCTCGGCTGAGCCCGACAGAGCAGGGCTTGTAGGGCCATGCAGAGCCACCCCTCATTTCACCAGGAAGCAGTGGCCTCGGGACATGCTTGAATTTTCCTGTGGCAGGAAAGCGTAGCACTGGGCTAGTGAAGCAAAATGCTTCAGTTCTCTGCTCTCTCCACAGCTGAATAGGAAACCCCAATTCAAAGGTTTCCTTCAAGCTATAAAAACAAAGCAAAGCTGTTTACAGGGAATGGAGAAATAGTCATTTCCAAAGTCCCTATCCAGCTGCAAATAGAGAATATAAGACCAGATAGCATTTTTACCTCAGAATATCTCTCACTGATCTAGTAGAGCAAAGTTTGTTGATATTCAGGGTTGCAAACCCATCTGTTTACTCAGGCTTTTGTCTGTCAGCATAGTTTGAAGAGGTCACTTTGAGAGATCAATTTTTTTTCCTGGGGGTTTCTTCAGAGCTACCACAATTTGTTATTGCATCTCTTTAGAGGCTTTAATTTGTGGTTTTCAAGATTGCATAACTGCACAGAGAGGTGGTGAGAGGCCCACATGAATAGTTCAAAATAAGTTTGACAATATAGTAAATATCTACTCAGTAATTTTCCCTGGACTGAGCACCGTGGAATGCCAAAGAAGTTATTAATCAGGCTGGTGGATGAACGTGGCTTTATGAGGGCTGGAGCATACATTTCCCCTCAGATGTTAAAATGCTGAATAACCTTGCTGCTGACTCCAACTAAAGATGAAGCACCAGGGCACTACAAACCAGACGTCTGATTAGATTGCTCTAAACCAGCCTATTCAGAACCAGAGAAAGAAAAAAATAAAATGGGATTTTAATTTTGCCTTTTATTTAGGGTTCTTGTAATAAGTTACATAAAAATTAAGCAAGCTGCCTAGCCTCCCATGAGGAGGCTCAGCATCCATTTTTCCATTTCACAGAGGATAGATGGGAGGTACAGACATGCACAGTCACTTTTGGAGCACAAACTGCGACTGGAGGAATTGCAGGTCCTCGGGGTCTTTGGGAATCTGCAGCCAGAGACCTGGCATTGGCCACAGGCGGAAACAGGGCACTCAGGACCCACAGGCACATTGGGCTGCATGTCCCAAAGTCAGTGTGGCAGCACCTGGGTGAGTGGCAGCTGCTCAGGGTTGCATGAGCCACATTTGCATAGCAGAGGGCAGTGTTCAGCGTTTTGGACAAGGAATGTCCCGTTCTAAGGAAGCTGCTGGGAAAATAAAGTGCATGGTGCAAGCTGGTAACCCTGCAACAATGGAATGGCAAAGTTCTGAGCAGAGACACCAAACTACATTTAAGCTCTGTACTTCTGGGACAGGTCTCCATCTAGTTCAGCAGGAAGGAATTTGCAGGTCGTAAATTCCCTCTGATGGGTGAAGACTGAAGGTGGTCAGTCAGTGTTCAGCCCTGCACAGTGAGCACTTTGCTACTGATACACAACCCACCCAGCCCACAACGACTCGGTGTCCGCTCTGTGGGCAGCACACAGCTCTACCTGGCCGTGCCCGTGAGGTGACACTTCAGCCCTCAGTTTAAGGATTTGCCAGACCTAGTCCCGTGAGAAGCTTGTATTTGTATGCCACTTGACAGGTGCAGAAAAGTACTGCTGGCTCCTCCTGGGACGCCGTCAAGGAGTGTCTGCCGTGACTCGCTGCGCTCGGGGATGCAGCAGGACCCCGGTGACAGCGGGACATCGCAGACGCAGCGCTCTCCTGTCGCCTCGGCCGTCCCCTCTGCCCACCCATTGTCGCGCTTCCCGCAGCACCGGCCCCGCAGCGGCCGCGATGCCGCCCGGTGTTCGCGAGTGCCGGGAGGGGCAGGTGGCGGGGCCGAGGTCCCGCCGCTGCCGGAGGATGGGGCGGCGGGTTCGAGCCCCGGTGCTCCCGCGGCGCCGGGGCGTGCGGCGGGGCGGAGGCTGTGCACCGGGGGCACCGGGCTGCCGGGGCGGGGAGGGGAGGAAGGCGCGGGAAGGGACGCGGCGATGGCGGCCTGTCCCTGTCACCTGCAGGCGCTGCCGGGACGGCCCCGGCCCCCGCTGCCGCCCCGGCCCGTGCCCGCACAGCCCGTGGGGAGCCGGGCCGGGGGCGGCTGTGCCTGTTGCATTGTCCTTGGCGGGGCTGCCTGGGAGCGCCCGCCGCTATCTGAGGCCGGGGACCCCGGCGGTGCCCTGTGTCGGACTCTCTGCCCCGCCTGACAGCGGCTGCACCCTGCTCCGTTGCACGTCCCTTGCGGCTCCCGCCGGGGCTCTCTCCCCTTTTGTCTGTGTATTTTTAGGTCATTAGAGTGGAGGGGTAGGTAATCCCCAGGCTCAAGTTCCAGAGGGGCGGGTTCTGGACGGAGGTGGAGTCACTTTTCATTTAAATCCCTGACTATAAAATGGGCTTAAAGAGAAGCGGGATCTCAGCTGTGCTGCACAGACCCCGGCACGCAGGGTGCGTGGGGGCCCCCCGGCAGCCAGCGCCCTGCAGCACAAGCCGCTGCGATGCTCCACTCCGTCGGCGTTCACACCTTGCAGCTGCTCACCCAGGCGGCCGCCTGCATCCTCCTGTTTCCCCGCTTCCTGCTCACCGCCGTGATGCTCTGGCTCCTGGATTTTCTGTGCATTAGGAAGAAGATGCTGACGATGCCCACGGCGGAGGAGGCGGCCAGCGCCAGCGAGGAGCCGCCCCCCGACGACCCCCCGGTCTGCGTGTCCGACTCCAACCGCATGTTCACGCTGGAGTCGCTGAAAGCCGTGTGGCACGGGCAGAAGCTGGACTTCTTCAAGTCGGCGCACGTGGGTTCCTTGGCCCCTAACCCCGAGGTGATCCAGCTGGACGGGCAGAAGAGGCTCCGCATCCTGGACTTCGCCCGCGGCAAGAGACCCCTCATCCTCAACTTCGGCAGCTGCACCTGACCCCCGTTCATGGCCCGCCTGAGGTCCTTCCAGCGCCTGGCCGCGCACTTCGTGGACATTGCCGACTTCCTGCTGGTGTACATTGAAGAAGCACACCCGTCCGACGGCTGGGTCAGCTCGGATGCAGCCTACAACATCCCCAAGCACCAGTGCCTCCAGGACAGGCTGCGGGCAGCTCAGCTGATGAGGGAAGGGGCGCCCGATTGCCCCCTGGCCGTGGACACCATGGACAATGCTTCCAGCGCCGCCTACGGTGCCTACTTCGAGAGGCTCTACATCATTCAGGAGGAGAAGGTGATGTACCAGGGAGGCAGAGGACCAGAGGGCTACAAGATCTCGGAGCTGAGGAGCTGGCTAGACCAGTACAAAACCCGGCTCCAGAGCCCCAGCACGGTGGTCATCCAAGTGTAAAAAGGACCTGGCAAGAAGAGCAGGGGTGGAGAGGCGAGGGAGGGCGGGAGGAGAGGTGGGGAGGGAGAAGGCACTGCGTCGCGGATGGCAGGAGCTGTCTTCCCGCGGGGACACTCGAAGGAGGCTGCTGTGCGAGCTTTCGAGCAAGACGTGCCATAGTCCTTTCTCTATTCAAATCATGTTGATTTGCCAGCCACGCTCTGTCAATACTGTATTTCCATGTGCGTTTTGTAAATAACTCCCTCTTTTTTTTCTTTTTTTTTTTCTTTTTTTTTTTTTAAGCGTTTACTATTTTTTAAGGAGGCTCTCTTCCTACGGGATCTGTTCCCGGCTGCGTGTGTGCGCGGGTGTGTGTCTGAAAAGTTGTGTACAAGTGCTCCGTGCTGCCTAGCAAGTGCTAACTGGGATTTCTAGTATTTCTTTGTGATGACCGATTTTGAAATGGGTTTCTCTAATGCCAGGAAATCGCGTCTGATGTTGTCAAATACTAGAACTGCCAATAGCCAGAGCTGGACGGAATGTCCTATTTATGTGGGGGGGTTTTGTAAGACGTTCGTTCACCTTCCTTTTTTTTATGAATTTTTTTAAATAATAAAGGCTGAGTAACTACACACCTAAGGTTGACTGCCTTTCTCTGTCTTCAGACCGCTACGTTCACTTTCCCTTTTGCCTACCTCGCAACACCCCCCGCAGCCGAGGAGGGGCAGGCGGGAGAGGATGCGCTGCCGGGGGCTCGGGGGCGGCGAGCTCAGGCTCGGCAGCGGCAGGAGCGCGCACCGCCCGCGACCCGCGGGGAAGGGAGAGTGCTGGGTGTCCCCATGGGGAAATCCAGACCTCCGGGGCTCCTGGGGGAGGAGACCGGTCAGGAGGACCGCGTGCTCCCTCAGTGACACCAGATTTGAGCCCTGAGCCCTGGAGGGCGAAGGTGCAGGGCGCCGTGCAGGCAAGTGAGTCCCGACCGCAAACGCAGGCTGGGGAAAGCCGTCCTGGGCGGCAGAGCTGTCCCGCCAAGGACGCCCCGCCTCGGGCACGCAGGCTGTGCCGGACCGGAGCCGGCCGGGGCAGCGCGGACCGCACCTGCACGGCCGAGGGGCTCGGGCAGCGCCCAGCCCGGCCGTGCGAGGCTCAGCCCCACCCCTGGGGGCCGGCAGCTACGCTGGAAAGGGCGCGGGGTGCCGAACCTTGCTGCCTTGGACCCCGACAGGTGAGACAGGGCGTGGAGAGCATCCCGCAGCGTCCGCAGGAGCCGTACGAAGCTGCCCGGAGAGAGTGGGTCTTTAAGGACCACCCGTGGCGCCTCTGAACGCCTCCACGTCCTTGACAGCAGCGGGACGAGGCGCCCGAGCTGTTCAGCCCCTAAGTTTTGGAGAGGGGTGCACGGTCCGAAGGCGGGGCAAGCCGTGAGCGCCGCTTTTCGCAGCTGGGCTCCGAGTCGCGCCCGCAGTGCTGAACTGAACCCGCGGGAAGCTTTTGTAAGGGCGTTACAGCCCCGGTCTTGACAATGCTCCTCTGGACCCGCCGTGCTCCAGTCTCTCAACATTCACGGCTTAGACCAGCACGCGTAACTGCTCCCGCCTCTCCCCGCAACAAAAGCAGCACCGAGTGGTCCCTCACAGGGAAATCAGATGCTACGACCCTGCTAGTCCGTCCCCTTCGCCCCCACAGCCTCCCTGATAATCGGGCTGCTCTGCTGAGGTGTCAAAGGGTCCGGCTCAGGTGCCCGCTTCGGGCTTCCCGACCCGCCTGGCCATTGCGCCTGCTCTGACGGGGTCGAAAGCCTTTCAGCCCTTCTTCTTCACCTTTCCGCTGCCCCCAAGAGCTGACCCCCGGCACCGGGCTCAAGGCACCGGTTCCGCCCGGCTCAGGCGCCTCCGGTTGATGCTGGGGCGGCGGGGCGAGAGCCCACCCTGAGGTGGTCTTGCTTCCCTGGCCGGGAGCTGGGCGCAAGCACAGAGCCCTCTGCGAAGTCCCGGAGTGCAGGGGAGCCTCGGCGGCAGAGCCAGCAGGACAGGCTGGGCAGGGCATCATCCCCTTCCCCCCGGCATCACCCCGCTCCCTCCGGCATCACCCCCTTCCCTCTGGCATCACCCCGCTCCCCCGGCATCACCCCGCTCCCCCGGCATCACCCCGCTCCCCCCGGCACGGGCAGCGCCCGCCCAGGCACGGCAAAGGTGCGGGTGCCTGAGCCGCGGCCAGCCCCCGTCAGCGCTCCCCGCCTGCATGGGCACATCAGCCTGGGCTCCCTCCGGGCACCCCCAGAGGGAGAATGAGCGCTGCTCCCCGGTGCGAGGCTCCCGGGCACCGCGAAGGTGCCGTGCCCCGCTGCGGGACAGCCGAGCCCCCGCTCCGCCCCGCTGCCCGCGGCTCCCGGCACCGGCCCAGCCCCTGCCCTGCTGCGCCTCTCCCAGCCCCACGCACGCCGTGCCGTAAAAAACAAAGGCAGAGGAGCAGCGGGTCTCCTCTCTCGGCTACAAGGGCAGACTGTGTACTCGATTGCTTTTTTTTTTTTTTTTTTTTTAACAGCTTGGTTTTCCTGACTTTACAATAAAGCCATTCTTCTCTTTCTCACCTCGTTATCTTTTTCCTTTATCCGCTTTTGGCGAGCTTTAGTTGTAATCCGAAATTACGGCAAGACCCGGGCGCATCCCCACCCCGGCCTGGCCCCCAGGACATTTTCCGGTCGTACAGACAGAAATGGTCACTGTGGGCTTTAATAATAACAGAAACAGCCTCATCTTTACTCTCTACTACTAGCAGATCTTGGTCAAAGGCTATATGAGGTCAGGATTTTTTCCCCCCTAAATAAATCAGCTTTCTAAAGCTACATTCCTCCTTTAAAGCGAACACAGAGATCTTATTTATCACTTTCTCTTTAATCAGCAACAGAAGAAAAATTTGCTATGAATTCCTGGAATCCCTGAAAGAGATCACACTTTTCCTTTGCACAAATCAAAGTTATCTGCTTCTATTATATCCTCCACTTAAAATGAATCATAAGCCTCCATCCCACTGAGCTTTCTCGGGGATACTTGTTTAGCACAGACGAGAACAATGCGCTGTACATCTAAAGAGCCCCGGGCGGCAGAAGCCTCTCCGACTGATACAAAGGATTGAGAAACGTCCTATCTTTAAAACGCATTTTTAGTGCCTTTCCACCTCCCTAGTGCACGACAAACAGAAGTCAGAGAGCGCAGAGAGATTTATCAGAGAGAGATCTGAGTGGCAATTACATGTTCTGTCAATAATTAATTGAATTATGTCCTCATCATAATTACATACAGTCCTCTAGCCAGGAGGAGAAAGGAAAGAAGGAAGTTGTGGTGTGGTCAGAGGGGGATCTCAGGACACGGTTCTAGTCATTAAAAATGTGATGTAACATTGCAATCTGGTGTATTCTGAGACACAAATGGGGAAACACAAACGAAACCAACTACTAAAATCTTGTTTGATTTACAGCAGGGAGACAGAAAAAGCACTTGCCTTCATTAGTTGTTTCCATTACTACTTTCTGCTGGGGATTTAAAGGTACTTTGCCATGTAAAGACCAAAGGTCTTGCTCGTTTGAACTATGACCTATATGTTGTAGTCTTTCTATTGTTCACCACATACTACCTGACTACATTGGATGTTTCTGATGTTTGAAATAAAAATTTAAATTGGTCCAGAAATTAAAATTAGTCCAGCAAAGCATCCTATACTCAATACAAATGACACATTCAAATAGTCTTGCAAGCAAATTCTTACTCTGACACTTATTTTTCTGTATTTCTTCCAGTCATAAGGGAGATCATCATATCATTATTAATTTATTATTTACTAAGAGCTGTTAGAGTACTCTTTTGGTACACAAATGCAAGAAAACAAAGAGCTTGATTCAGTTCTCACACAAGTTTTGCACTGGTGTAACTTCAATGACACGGGTGTAGTCACTTCAGAACCACCTGGGTGTAATTATGATCAAAATCTGGGCTATTGCACTTCCTTTGCTTTTCTAATGGTTCAAAACCTCTATTTTTCTACAGCATGCTGTGGAAGACAGACAGCTGTTTGCATATAGAGCTCAGAAATCATCCTCAAGTTCCTCCTCACTGCCAGTGCCAGGGTCCTATATCCTGCTGCAATTTAGGCATGTCAGCACATTTCCTCACCATTCTGCATCCCTACAGCATGAGAGCTGTAAACCCCATCGATATGTGTTTCCTTCCACTTGTTAAGGCAGATCCTCCTGGTGTCTTGAGCTTTAGATCAGGTAGCTTTTCATTCGAATTGCTTTTGAGATCCAGCTGCCAAAAGAGAATTTGACACCTGCTTCCCTCTTTGCAAATTTCTCTTTTCAGACAAAAGTTTGATGATGCTTCTTGAAAAGGGGTTCCTTTATGACCTCCACTTAATTGACTAACTCATTTATTTCTCATCTTCTTGGCCTTCCACCTGCTTCTTCAGAGATTTTGGAAATGGTTTACACTGGTGAATGTGCTAAAACTTAATGTCCAAAAAGCTCTTAACTAGAATTGCGAACAGTAGTTAGTACTTCCTAAGTGAAAATGCAATACAGGACAAGGTTAAAATCCTTCAGCAAGTATGTTTTGCATGAGAATTCTCCTCAGGGCTTGTGCCCTCAAAAGTAAGGCTCCCTCCTGGTCCATAGAATTCCTGTGCCAAGCAATCTTAGAAGATCAGGTCTGTATGTTGTTTCATCCCTCTGGCAAATTAATAGCTCCGTCTTGACTTTGCTCATGGAAGTATTTGCTTCCATTTCCTTTCAAGAAATAAATATCCTCCATCTTAAAAGGACCTTTAGGATATGGCCATATGGGGTAAGGTAACTCAACCCCCTACACAAATCCCCAGTGGCCAGAATTACCCCGACACGGAGGTGATCCCTGAAAGTCTGATAAAGGTATCCAAGAGCTGCATTTCATACTGGAGCCTTCAAGAATGAGCTGGCATATAGTTCCCAGCAGAAGAGCATTCCATTATCTATTGTAAAGCAATGGGCACTGTGGAAAATTATAAACAGATTTGGATTTTACGAAACCCCTAGCAATGAGGGTAAGAACCATGACGAAGCTTTCATTCTTTTATGTCATCTTCTCACCATCTTAGGTTTATAAAGCAACTAGTGCTTCAGTGGTCTGCATTTGATGAGATTTTCACATTCCATTCCAAGTCATTCCAGGTTGGATTTTTAGAGTCATATTTCTATTTTTCTTGCATCTTGATCTTCTTGCCTGAAGAGTCAGTCAGGATATATATTCAGAATCACAGCATATTCTGAGCTGGAAGGGACCCACAAGGATTATCAAGTTCAACTCTTATATGAATGGTCCACATTGGGATGGAACCCACAACTCTGGCATTATCAGTACCACACTAACCAGCTGAGCTAATCCCTTGCAGTGACAAACTTCAGTACAGCTATTTAATCACTACAGGTTGTCAGGCATAATTTCTTAAATTATGTACCACCTTACAGAAATTAAATGAGGTGTCACTGCATAGAACCTCACTTCAAGTACCATAAATTTTAAAAATTTTGTGTTGAAACATCTTCCTGAGCTTTCTCTGAGTTCATATAACTTGCAAACATAATTACATCAAAGATACCATTAG